TAATATGGAACAGAATGTTTACTTCATGCAATTAATCTTAATTTTGTCACTCGGTGGTTTTTAGGGTCGCTGATTACGAATGCGATGTTTGTTTTTAAAATTTCAAATGACTAATATAATATGGGAAAGAGGAATTAAAAAAAATTTTCTATACACGCTCGCTGGTCGTGAATCGACGCAAGTGCTAAAATAATTGTCAGTGAGCGCTCCTTTGACATTTACAGCTAACTGACTGGTATTAGAACTCTCGAGTAACAAAATTAAGGTCAATTGCATAAATCTAAAAGAAAATTCTGCCATATTGAAAACACCATTTTAAATTTATGAAAACTTACATCAAATTCGTAATCAGCGTCCCTAAAAACCACCGAGTGACAAAATTAAGGTCCATTGCATAAAGTAAAAATTTGTGTTCCATATTGGATGGGGGGAGGGTAAAAAATTAATAAAAAATTGTCCTCGTGGTTTATGGACGGCTTATACAAAGAAGGAAGAATACTTCAATAAAATAATTCTTCTAATTTACAACGAATTTATATAAAGTTTTTCTATCGCTTGACTGAACTAATCGAAACAAAAACCATTATTTTGTAATTTGACTTGCTTGGTACTTTGAAACGTCTGGCAACACAGCATTTCTTTAGTCGTGTTGCAAATGCTTGGTATGACTTGTTTACATTTAGTTTTGAGTAGAAAATTGTGTGCAATGTTTCCAGATGTTCAAACAGCTGTCCAATATACTGTATAAAACATGAAATTTTTTTACAAATTAATTTATTGCAACTCTCACAGGTACCTAATGACACTTTTTAAACAGATATTTAACCATTATATATCTGTCTCGTATTAAAAAATGTTTTATTAATTTCTTAATTTTAAGTACTTTGTGGTGAGTAAATATGTTTGAAAATGTACTCAATTCCCACAAAACTCAATGTTAAAAGTTAAAAACAAAGACGCTTATAAATTTTTTTACAAGTCCCCACAGGCGTAAAAAATTTAACTACATTTTTTAAAAACTTGTGGTACAAATTTCAACAAATTGGTAATGTTAATTCTATTTGCGAAAAAACCTTCCTATTATCTTGAAAAAATCTGTAATTACCTTAACGTTTTATAAACATTTTACAATATAGCTCAGTGTATTAAATTTAATTTTTAGTTTTCGTGTTTTATGTTTTTTAATTCTTCAAAAAAAATTGTAATCTTTTTCCAATATTTTAGAAAAAGAAAAAAACGGATCATATGGTCTTATATTTTTATATACACACAATAAAATAAGGTCTTGAGTATCAAAAGACAGAAACAGAAATTTCGCGCGCGTAGCTCTGCTAGTTATTTATATGTTTGGACATGAAAAAGTCAAATTTTAAACATTTATTTTTAAGTGTATATTGCAGGAAAAACATAGCTAACCTGATTAGAACTAATTTAATTCACATTTATAGAAGAACTTGACCTCGTAAAGACAAATTTTTAAAAATTAAGTTTTCTTATGTGTATAGATCATAGGCAAATTTTTGATTTCCCTCCAGCAAAGGTGGGGAACCTACGACCTTATAGACTATCGTTTTATCCACTATACTACGGACTTGTTATCTTATTTTCTCTCAATCATGATTTAAAGACAAGTTTTAGCAAGCAATAAAGTTCAAGTAATTAAATAATTACTTTACAAAATTATAGTAATCTTATAATTTACAATATTATTAATTTTTTTATTAAAATTTTGATAATTATTATTATTATTTTTAATTAATTTAATTTTTATTTACCAATGATTTAATAAAAATACTTTAATAGTTTGATGTTATTAATTGTTATTTTACATTAATTATTTATATTTTATGTTTAAAATATAAATAATAATAATAATACTAATAATTTTATTATATTAGTAGAGATTAGGGAACTGTCGTCCACTTCCATTAATACTTTGACTCTAAAAATTAATTTTTGCATTAAACTAAAATATATAAATAATACAAAGCTTTTTGTAAACTGAAGCATTTGGGGAATTGTGGGCACGTTTTTGAGGAAGTATTTCTTGCTTGTTTTTGGCGATTGTATTGCTCAATGAAGGTACAGTCGGGCCGCAGAACTGCACGGTACCCCAGAAATAACCCCTCCACCTAAGGAACCGTACTTGCATACTTATCCTTTAGAATTGTTTCTCATTCTTTAATTTTTAAATATACGGCACTGAATTTAGTAGCGGCACCGTACATTGTGGAGTACTTAGAAACTATAGCCAACGTGTAGTTTGGTGACAGCGTACAGTTTAAAAGCGTTCAGTTCAGAGGCCCGATTATTAAAATAAGTCATAGATATAGTAATTTAACAAAAATAATTATATTCATTGCAATTTATGTGATAGAGCTGTTCACTTAAAATGTGTATAATTAATGGAGTTAATTTTACTTGTAGAGTAGAACGGGGCGAGGCAGCCTAGACGGCACACTGTGGTCTGCGAGGCAGTTATTTGAATAGGTTTTTTTTATTTCAGTGTCGCTTTGAAAACCTTGTCTTTTAGGCTAAAAAATCGCCATAGGACATTTTGATGTAGGTTGCACTTAAAAATGTCTAAAACCGTTTTTCCAAAGAACCACATTTTTGTCATAGTTGCAAAAACGTGGGTGGGTTGAGGCGATCAACTGTTTTATTAGTAAATTAACGTAACTCCAAATTAAAATAATGAAGCTAACAAGGCAGTTGTAATTAATTTACTTTTTTTGTTAAAAAAAATTTACATTTTAATAATATTATCATAACATTAATAAATTTAAATTCACATTTTAAGGAAATATAATTTTTTTCTTAAAAATTAAAAAAAATTTAAATTAAAAAATTTTTTTTTAAAATTAAAAGAAAAAGACCTTACAGAATTAATTTAGCATGAATTTTACTTATGACGTTTTGAAAAAATCGCCAATTTTAATGCTATACAAATATTTGAAAAACTTATAAAATCGTAATAGTTTTACCATGCTTCTCTTCTTATTTTAAAGGTCATTTTCTACAGTATGAAAATTACTTAAAGGTATTGGCGTGTATTCTTTACTCAGAAAATGTATGAAATACAAAGCTAGGATAAAACGACTTATTAGAACAAAATAATAAAAAATAGCAAAGCATTTCAAAATAAGAATTTTGAACTAAGGAAATAAAAACAACCCTCCAAATTTATCAATTGTTTAAACGAGTAAAAATAAATCATCTCCACTCACATGGGATAAAAAGTAAAAAATTCGCAAAAAAGCAAAGTTGTAGATGATGATATAAAGAGCAAAAAAGTCCGGTAGCAAGATTTCATATGCAATATGTTTAGAGATAATTGAGTCGGAAAATCGATTTTTTAAAAAAACGCACGAAAAATATATAAAGAGTGGTTTTTAAAGAAATTACTACATTTATGTCTGTAAAAATGTTTAGCTAGTGTTTCTGGGTAAAAATATGTCGAGTTCGATGGACAGATTTGCAGGCTTTCAAAAAAAATTTGATTTTCAGCATTATTTTGGGATTTTTTAGTTTTTTACCATTTAAAAGCCCGTAACACCAAAATTTAGCTTCCTATTAAACAATATTCTAATGGAAAGTTGTTTGCTTTTTTTTATCTAAAAAAATATGCAATTAAAAATTTCGATTTTTGAAAAACCAAATTTTCAAAATTTTCAAAATTCTCTAGTTTTAGTAGTTTTTGACAAAAATGGCTGGCTTACGAACTTGGCCTTCATTTTTTCACTAATTTTAAGTGTGCAAAATTGGAAAATGATTCATTAAGTTTTTTAAAATTTATCGTCGGAACAAAGTTTTTGTCTATGGACAGACAGGCAAACAGACAGACGTAATCGTCGGACCATGTTTTTGGATTCAGGGCACATCAAAAGGCAAAGATTTTATAAAATTAGCAAAAATCAATCTTTCACTAAGTCCAATACTTTCTCATGTGATGAGAATGTAAAAACATTTAATTTATTAAAATTCAAATTGTAAAACTTCTTGATTTGATGTTTCTCACTTGACCATATATTATCATACATTCAACATAATAAAAAATTTTTATTAAAAGTAAAAAATATTATTTTATTATAAATTATAAATTTAATTGAAACTAAATTACTCTAAACAACTGTTCTAAATAATGTAATTGTTAAAAAAATAAAACTAACTTTATAAAACATTGTTTTAAAAATTATTAACAACAATACATACTTAAAATATCAATAGATGTACTACAATAATGTAAAAATAAATTATTCAACACATTGTAAATGAAATATTTTATTAAATCACAAAGATTTTTTTAATATTGAAATTACTACAAATGTATTATTATTACATTTACATTACAAATTAATATCACAAAATAAGTCTTAGTATTATTCGAGGTATTTTATCACAAACTTAACGACATAACTTTTCTATTTTAATAAAACAAAAATTCTATCTAAATTAACAAAAAATGTTATGAAAAAATATCTACATATACAATTCTTTATTTATTTTAATAACATTTGTTACTGACTTATCTTCAAGCTCCAATTTGTACTGTAATTTTATAATGTAAATTTATTATTTAAGTCTCCTTGTCATGAAATTTTCTTAATGTTTTAGTATTAAATTATCATTTAATCTATTCATAGTATTATCACAAAATTAATATCACAAAATAAGTCTTAGTATTATTCAAAGTATTTTATCACGAACTTAACGATATAATTTTTCTATTTTAATAAAACAAAAATTCTATCTAAATTAACAAAAAATGGTGTCAAAAAATATCTACATATACAATTTTTCACTTTTTTTAATAACATTTAATACTGACTTATTATTTTCAATCTCCAATTTGTACTGTAATGTTATAAAGTAAATTTAATATTTAAGTATAAAAAAAATTAGTACTAAAAATTATAGAAAATGAATATAATTGTATTTGTGTAGATAATAAAAGAAACTAATGATTATTATCGTGAAATATTGTCAACTTAATTTAGAATTAATCCATTTTTTCTCAAATAACATTTGTAAAGTATCTTCATTATGAGAATTTCTTAAAAAAAATTGTTTTAATAACCAGAAATTTTTTTTATGTCTTAATGGCGTATTTATATAAAATTAGGAACAATGAAAAAATTCGTATTCATTTACATTCTTCTTCGCGCAACTGGCGGTACTTCAGCCTCCCCTAAAGTCCTTTTCAGTTCATTGCGAACTCTTAGTAAACTGTTTAAAGACATTGTCTCACCGGAAATTGATTCTATGTCAGTAATATGATTCAATTGTAAATGTAATCTCGGTCCTAAAATATGTTTAAGTTAAATTAATCTTTGGTAATGTAGCACAGTTATGGTTGCCACAGGTCAGGGAATTCAGGGAAAAGTCAGGGATTTTAATTAAAAGTACTGAAAAAAATTTAATTTTTAGATTTCATAAGAAAATTCTGATTTTTTTATGTTTTTTTGGTTATGAATTGTTATGAATTATAATCAAACTGCAACAAATTTTAATACAAAACCGTCAACATTTTTTTATATTTCTGACAAGAATGAATTTCTTTTAATATTATTCAATTATTTTAAGTTTTAACGCTATTACAGCTTATATTAAATTTAATAAAATTTACAAAATTATAACAAAATTCTTTATAGAAATATTACAAAAGAATAAATAAAAAATACATTTTTTTCAAAAAGAAATTACAATTTGTTTTAATAAATTTAAATTTTGTTAAGATTCAAGAAAAATTATATAAAATAGTTAATTATTTGCAAAATTTCAAATATTTTTAAAAGTTTATTATTGCAATTCAACGATTTCCAATATTTACTATTTTTTTTTAAAATTTATCAAATAATTTAATTATAGAAAAAAAGTTTTTAATACAATTTTACGAAACCATTTAATTATTTTCATAAATTATTAAATTTCATTTAGGAATTAAATTATTTTCATCGTACAATTTAACATATATTTTTAATAAAATTTAAAATAAATTCCTTGAAAAATGTAATTATCTTTTAAAGTTTTATTAAAACTTGATAGAAAAATTCAATAATTTTAAGAAACATTCGTAAAAATAAATTTTTAAGAAACATTCAATTTTATTAAATAAATTATTTCTTTTAGAATCATTCTCAATTTAATAATTGACATATCTTACAGAGATAAATTTTTAAAAAATACAAAAATAATTTTTTAACAAGAGTTGTAGTATATTTTACAAAAAATGATAATAAAAATGCAAATATAAACATAAACAAGATAATTATTTTTGAAGATAATTAAATTTTTCTAAAATATTAAAAATGACAGTTGAAAATTGTGAAAAATATGACATAAATGAAAGTCTTATGAATACTCTGAATTTAATTTATATTGAAGTCTTTGTTGAGCTTATTAAAAAAGATTACTCAAATAAATAAAATTCCAGGTTATATTTTGAAATTCCACAAAATTTTCAGATTTTTCAGGTCCTTTAACTCTTTGCCGTTCATATGTTACGAAATGTCGTCTAGAGTCCTTTTTGGGGGAACAGCCAATGAGAAGAGGCGTTTATGTTTGTGTTGATAAGTTAGTTATGTGTGAGAATGTAAGTGTCTAAACTTGCAGTATCGTACCTTCTCAAAATTGGAACCCATTTATATTTTACAATAAATTATATTTAATTATACTAATTGATCACTAAAAATACGATTTTTTGTGTAAAGTGCAAATGTATATTTGCAATTTATTACAATTTAAAAATGGTAAATTTGATTGTTAAAGACTTTTATCAAACATAAATATCCTATGTAAACATAACCTCAAAATCAAACTAACATTCGGCCCTGATATTTTCCACGTGATTCAACTGTCAAACTGCTTGTTTCTGAGGTGGGGAAAACTAATGTACGGCAAAGAGTTAAAAAATCCGTGATTTTTTCAGATTTCCCAGGTTTTGTAACTTATTTAAAAATCTATAAGATAGTACATATAATATATTACTTACCTTGTGATTCTATCGTGCCAATCAAGGCAAGCTTCTGGCCCTTTTGAAACACTTCTACTCCTTGGAAGCTAGCAATCCTTACTTCCAATTTACTGGTTCCGTCAGTTATTGACCCACAAGCAAACGTACCTACATTAGGATAGGCCCCCATTCTTTGTTCAACGAATTTCGATTTTAAAAAAGCACATATTTCTGTAAAGAAATAACAAAAATAATTTTTTACAATTTTATTAAATATGAAAGTATTATTGAATACAAAGTTTATATAAAAGAATTGAAAATTTTTATTTTTAATAAACAATAATTTATCAATATAGGATCATTTCAGATGAATGGAAACAGATTCTTTAAGTTTCGCAAATAATATAAATTTCTGCTATTTAACATTAAAATCTTAATATAAATTTCTCTCAGTGTAATTAGTGTTACGGCCGAACTCCGTAACTTTTTATATTGTTAATAACTTTTTTAATTATATTTAAAACTAAAATTACATACAACAATTACACGCAACATGAGATTTTGTTAACACATCTTAAACATTTACACAAATAACCCTTTGTAAACTCACAAAAGGAACATTCTTTTATTTTGGTACTTTGAAACAAGTTGTCAAAAACAAATATCCAAAGTAATAAAATAATATTTTATAATAATGCACAATTCAAGGATAGAAATCTAAAATAAATTGTAAAATTCCTTTATTTATTCTTTTTCTATTCTGAAGAGTTTATTAACTTTGCTTTTGAGTAATAGTTAAGAAATACTAAAATATGTCAATTGCCCAATATAAGGAGTGGTGCATCCAAGTCACTGAACTCGGATCACGCCACTGCCTAAATCTGCAAGCTTGCAGAATTGGCTTGACAACAGTCAAGTGCAATAAACTTAACAAACGATTTCCCCACTAAATCGTCTTTCAATAAAATTGATTGACACTGGGAAATCTGGGCAGTTTAAGCCAGGCCGTTGTAGCCAGCAGTTAGCCCTGGCAGTTTGGGCCCGCAGTTTAGTCCAGGTCGTAGTCACCTGTAGTTGTAGCCGGAAGTTTTGGCCAGGCAATTCTAAGTCCGGCAATCGGCCGTGTTCAATTAAATTTTGTAATCCCTGAGCAAGGGATTTCCTTAGAAGTTAACGGGTTTAATAAAAAGTTTGATCAGAAAAGTGAATTTGAATTGAGAATAAAAATATAAAGAAATAAAAAGTAAAGAAAGGTTGAATTTAAAAGTTATATTGAGAATAATAAAAGTGACAAGTGAAAAAGTAAAATAATTAAAAGAAAATATAGAAAATAAAGTCTTTATTTTGTGCAATAAAAGGAATATTAAGGTTCAAGACGAAATATCAATCTAGTGAACCTAGATTGGGTATTTCTTTAGTTTTTCTGAGATACAACGCGAAATTTACGAAGTCAGAACGTGTCATTGGATTAATATTTCAAGGAGATCGAATTACTGAGTAGTGAGTATAAAAGACTACTTACACCACATAACACACACTACAAGTTCAATCACACATATATAAAGTACTTTCTTTACACACATAAAAATTAGATTACTTGTATTAGGGACTTTTTGGGTAAAATATATAATTCATGGTTTACATCTTAATTTTGCATTTTAATTTAAACATCCTAATTAATTTTCCTATCTTCTCATTTTTCTTAAGAGTAGGGTTCTCAACCTCTTAGTTGAATCAATAACTAAGTAGAGGGGGAATCCACTACCTTTACAATTTCTTTATCCGAAGGACACGTGAGTTAAAGTTTTAAAAATTAATCTTTTAAAATTAAATTTCTAAATCCTACTTTAACAATTAGATTGAAATAACTAAAATATCTTACTAATTTTGGTTCCTAACTCGGTATGTATCACATCAGCTAGATCAATGGTATCTACTTCAACTTCCTCTTCTTCCAATAGACGTTGTCCTCGTGATGCTATCTCAGTCGTTGCAAACACTTGCAATTCAAAATGCACATTTCCTTTATTGAACTCAGCTTTCGACGGAACTCGAGCCCAGCCTCCATCAATGTGCAAAATCTATATATATATATATATATATATATATATATATATATATGGGACATTCCACGTCAACACAGACAGAGCTCTAAACAAAAATTGCTTCGATGGATTTAAACGTTCTAGGGCTTAAAAGATTTCTACGTTCATGTACTTTAAGATGACGATGGGCGTTTTTTGCAAAATTCCATTTCCGATGCCAATAGAACTGTCAAAAGTCAAAAGGTCCAAAAATCTCAAAATACTTTTATGAATTAAAAGCAAAAAACGAGGTAAATTATTCTGTAACTCATTCTTTATAAGTTTTTAGGGTTCCCGAATATAAATCTAAAGTTTTTTTTTAAAAATCCAAAATGGCGAATTCAATATGTCGGACAAAATTCAAATTTGATCAGATTCGATGAAAACTTGTTACACAGAGGTTTTTAGGGTCGCTGATTACGAATCTGAAGTCATTTTAAAAAAATTCAAAATGGCGGATCCAATATGGCGGAAAAAATTTTCAAATTTGATCCGATTCCCTTAAAACGTGTTACTCGGGGGATTTTGGGGTCGCAGATTATGAATATGAAGTTACTTTGTGTTTGAGACTTCAAATTCATAATCAGATACGCTAAAAACCACCGAGTAACACTTTTTAATTAAATCTGATCAAATTAAAAAATTTGATCCGCCATTTTGAATTTCTACAAAGTAACTTCATATTCATAATCTGCGACCCCAAAAGCCCCCGAGTAACACGTTTTAAGGGAATCGTATCAAATTTGAAAATTTTTTCCGCCATATTGGATCCGCCATTTTGAATTTTTAAAAAGTGACTTCAGATTCGTAATCAGCGACCCTAAAAACCCCCGAGTAACAAGTTTTAATCGAATCTGATCAAATTTGAATTTTGTCCGCCATATTGAATTCGCCATTTTGGATTTTAAAAAAAAAACTTTAGATTCATATTCGGGAACCCTAAAAACTGATAAAGAATGAGTTACAGAATAATTTACCTCGTTTTTTGCTTTTAATTCATAAAAGTATTTTGAGATTTTTGGACCTTTTGACTTTTGACAGTTCTATTGGCATCGGAAATGGAATTTTGCAAAAAACGCCCATCGGCATCTTAAATTACATGAACGTAGAAATCTTTTAAGCCCTAGAACGTTTAAATCCATCAAATCAATTTTTGTTTAGAGCTCTGTCCGTGTTGACGTGGAATGTCCCATATTATATATTGGACTTGGATATTATTTTTATTTTATGACACTAAAAGATACTTTTTTCTTTGATTTTAAATTTTTTGCTACTTCAAATAAAAAAAATATTTTGAACAATTTTTAATAAAATTCTTTTTAGAGACACAATTCACTTATTTAGGAAAATTTTAGTCAAGAATTCAATTTTTTCCACAAATAATGAAATACTTCGCTAACATTCAAATACTTTTAATATCTACAATTTCGAAAAACTTTTAAAAATAATTTAGTTATTTATTTAAATAATGTAATAAGATTCTTCTCAAAATTTTAATTTATCATGAATAATAAAAATTTCAAAAGAATTTAATTATTTGAAATACAATTTTCCAGTAAAATTTTCAAAAGAAATCAAATGTTCAAAATATTTTCTTCAAATTCGTTGAAAGATACTAATTATATTCTAAAACTAGCTGTCGTACCCGTCTTCGACGGGTTTTAGTTGCTACAATTACATTCAATAGTGTGTCGACCAGTCTCGAAAAATAGGAAATAGCGGGGAATTTAATTTGACCGGAAAAAATAATATTTAGCTACCATTAACTATTTCATTAGAAAAATATTACTATTTTAAATCAGTGATTGACTTTTTACCATCAAATAATTTATTTTTAATTAATTAAAATGCAGAGAACAATGTTTTGTCAATTATTTGTAGAAATTTAATTATTGTATTATAAGTTAATCCAAAATTTCCACCAGTTTTTAGAGTAAAGTAAAATTCGAACTAATTGTATCATAATTGCTAAAATCTAAAATAAGACCTATATTGCAGGCTGAATTCACAGTTTTTCCCGATTAAATTAAATTCCTGCATATTTCCCGTTTTTTTCCAGTTCGTAGAACCCATGTTAAAAGTATTAGTAAAAACAAAAACCCGTCGAAGAGTATTTTCATAAAATAAGTGAATTTTTATAGCCATTTGTAGTTTTATTTATTGTTAATTCTTATCAAGAAAATTTATATTTGATGAGAAAAGATACACCTGGAAAAATTTGGACAAAGCTGGGAAAAACCGGATAGTTTGTTAAACAAAAATAATAATAGACACCCTGTTTAACTTTTGCCTTTACAATGCTCAAAACATCCCTAAAAGTTAAATCTAGAATTAAAATAACCAAACTTTTTACTATCTAAGTTTTTTCCCAGTAGCATAATGCAAGTATCGTATCACATATTCTTGAATTCCTGCAGTATCAATTTTATCATAAGAATCTCCATTTTTAATATTTTCGAAATTTTTGCAATTGAGTACTCCTAATAAAGTCGGCTGTAGACGCAAATTAGGTTAATGTATAGAAAATTTCTAAAGTAGAATGGTTATGCTTAATCCAAAAAAGTATTTCTCGGGGACTCTTGTCGAAGTGCGTAAGGCCAATAGGGCAGGAGTATAAACAATAAAAATATTTAATTACAGAAAGTTTAAAAAATATACATTAAAAAATATAAAATTTGGAAATTTTCCATTTTTTTAATTTTTTGAAAAAATTGAATACCTCCCGTTCTAATTAATATATTTAAAATCTGCAAATTTATTGCTTATATATATCTTACAAAAGTCATAACTGATTAATTTACAGCAATCTGTCAAAATTTTAAAAAAAATTTGAATTTTTTGGAAAATTCATAATTTTTTTTCATATTAATATTATTTTTTATTCAATTTATTTTTATATATCTTTAAAATCATTTATATTATAATAAATTAAAAAATTTATGCCAATCTGCAAAAATTGAAAAAAAAAATTTTTTTTGAATTTTTTGAAAAATTCATAACTTTTGTTCAGCTCAATATTTTTTCATCAAATATAGCTAATATTTTAAGTTAGACCAATACCTGAAAGATTGCCAAATTTTACTTTAATCGGTCAAGACGTTTTCAAGTTATACGCGAACAAAATTTTGCGGACATACATACATACATGCATACATACATACATACATACATACATACATACATACATACATACACACATACATACATACAGACAGGAAATTTTCTATTACCATTTTTGGATTCTCCGTTGTTCAAATAAATAAATTATGCTAGAAAAAATTAATTTCGTGCAATGTACAGACAAAAGTCTGATTTTATTAATATAGATTTTTATAACATTATTATAAATATAACATTATTTTTAAAAAATAATAAAAATGTTTACGCACGAATTCAAGCATTTTAAAAAATTCAAAATAAAATGCTTTGAAAGAATTCAACTATTTTTACAAATAATAAAAAATTCATCACAGGATTTCAAGTATTATTATTTGTAATAAAATAATTTTTATTATTTTATTTTTTTATTTTTTATTTCATTTTTTTTAATAAAATAATTTTTAATTTAAATAAATTCCTCGAAAAATGTAATTATTTTCAAAACTTATATTAACATTTTTTTAAACAAATCAATTGTTTTCAAAAGTTTTTTTAAATCAAATAATAATTCAATTAATTTTTATTATTTTATTTTTTATTTCATTTTTTTTTAATAAAATAATTTTTAATTTAAATAAATTCCTCGAAAAATGTAATTATTTTTAAAACTTATATTAAAATTTTTTTAATCAAATCAATTGTTTTCAAAAGTTTTTTTAAATCAAATAATAATTCAATTAATTTTACAAATAATGAAAAGTCTTCACTAAAATTCAAATAGTTTAAATATTTATAATAATACTAAATTTAAAAAAAAATCCAATTATTTAAGAAAAATTAATAAAATTTCTTCTCGAAAATTCAATTAATTAAATAATAAAATTTTCACATGAATTCAGTTATTTTTGAAAAAAACTTTGAGTGAATTCTTAGAAGAATGTAATTATTTTCAAAATTTTTATTTTAAATAATTTACCTCATTTACTTGGAAGTACTCATCCAAAGCACTGATATCCTTCACGCCCCAAATGCAGCATTAAATAATTTTCCCACTACCATTTGAGAGAAAACATTTCAGAACCACAGAGGTTGCTGTTATCTTATTTGGGAAGACTTTTTGAACAAAAACCACCAATTCACTGAAAATATATTTAAAAAACTTTGATAAATATTCTATACTATTTAGAAAACATTAAAGGAAGGAACATGTTTTTTGACTATATGACATGGAATATTATTATATTTAAATACTCAATGCTGACAAAAAAAATTTACGTTTCTAAATAACTTTTATTTCAATAGGATAAATTTTTATTGATTTCTAAAAATTAAATCATTAATATAATTAAATGTGTTTAATACAATTCAATTCAGAATTTATTTTAGTCATATATTTTTACAATTCCAACGTGAAAAGGTTATCTATATGTTTAGAAACAAAAACCAATAATTACTTTTGTATCTAATATTATAATTTTTCATAAATAAGCGGTTTTAAGGCTGAAAACGTCAAAATTTTACCTGTCCCCACAGGAAGTTTAGAAAAAAAAGTTAATAATTTTAGTAATATGCAATAATAAATACAGTTATTATTGACATTTTAGTATCGTCTACTTTAGTACAGTTGAATAAAAAAAATTTTAAAAAAAAATTCATTTCATATATGTTTTTTTCAGTGTATGCTTGATAGCAAATTTTGATGCTATTCATTATTTTATTAACAAACAGTAAATTATTTAAGGGGAGATTCCACAGAAATTAAGGTTTTTTAAAAAAAAATTTGTATAGGTAGTAAAATAAATATTTGTTAGTCAAACTTTTTTTACAATAAAATACTTGTGTTACAGTAATAAAAAACATTTTTTATTTATTTATTTT